CAGTCATGCCTCTCTACTTCTCCATTTCTGCACACAATCACCCATCATTTTTCACTAGGTTCTTTCCATTTGGTTGACCAAAAAATAATATCGGTCAAAATGTTTACCAACCATTTGAATAATAATTTACTAAGGTGGTTTACTAAAATTCCCCTTAAAGTGGCTATTGCTCTCTCTCACTTCATGTGTGCTTTATCTCTCCACACCAAACGAAACCTTACCAGATTCCCTTACTCTTTCTCAAAATTTTGAGTTCTTGAAACCTTCGAATGGGTGGGATAGAGAAGGCAACTACAGTATGAGGTGAGAAGGCAATCCAATCATAGACAGGTAAACAATTTCTTCTACTAGAATTGTATAACAGTACCTTCATACCCCTGTTCTTCAATCATTTACTACTCAGTCAATGCGTCTGTCTTTCATTTATCCTTGTTTTTTTCCTTTTTGGTTACATTTAATATCTGTTTTTATTTAGGTTCTTGAAGGTAGCTACTTTTATTGGGTAACTGCAATTGGGTTTTGAAAGTTCATGCTTTTTAAAGCTAAATTAGTTACGTTTCGAGTTTATTGCATGAATTTTATGGAAATGGCGATTTGGAATTTACATTTACATTTTTATGTTTACATTTTAGTTTTGTTTAATTAGAATGTTAATGAGGTAAAGATAAGCTTCGGAAATCAACACCACTTTGGATCCAAAGTTTGTAGAGGTAATTACTTCAACTCTTCCATTTTATATGTCAATGTAGTTTTTTTTCCCGTTTACAGTGCTATGCAAAAGATAAAAGAGTTGTGGTTGTACATGGTAAAGATTTTTAATGTACAAGGTAGTAGATGCTTGATTCTAAATGTTTTAATATCTTGCACCTTTATCTGTGATGCTGATTCTGATCAATATTTTGAATTGACTTTCTTTCTTTGGAAGAAAAAGAAGTGTTCTGTACTAAGTTCAATCATGAGATCTCTCAAATCTTAAGAAGATGTACACGGACGGTGTAAAATGAAATTCCACTTGAAAGGGCAAGAGGGAAGAAAACATCAATTTCAAATTTATTACTTCTTTTGGGTTCAAATAGTAGTAATTTGTTGTTTCTTCTATGTTCTGGTGCTTGGGTTTTGCCTCCCAGAAGAAGCAGGTGATTTGTGGATGGCTTATAATCTGATCGCCGAGGGTGATATAGTCTTAGCTATCCAGTCAAGTATCTTTTAGTTTCACTTTCAGATTTTTTTTCTTTTAATTCTTGTATGCATTGGTTTATTCCATGTTTTTGCTATTTCTAGAATATATAGCTTTGCATGAATCATGGGACACTTTTTTATGTTGTATTTCGAAATTAGATAAGAATGTCCTATTAGTACTGATTGTTATTGCATGTGGGAAATTTCTGGCTAAACTTCGACTTCATCTTGTAAAGGAAACATCCAATCGTAGGACTTTAATATATTATCTTCGGAATTCGTTGTAGGAAGTTTTGAGAAAAGTTGCTTCCGGAGGAAGAGATGCAGAAACTAAATTTTGAAATCAAAGTAGAGGTCAAATATTTTTCACAAATAAAAAAATTCAATTCAAAATCTTGAATTATTAATAAAAACACTAAACCTTTGCAGCTAGTAATCTTCAATAATCACTCAATAACCTTCTAATCCACAAGTCTATTCGACTAAAAAAGAATAAAGATTGAACACAACAAGACTTCGTAATTTATACTAATTCTCGGCTTTTTGCATCTTGTGTGTGTATTGTGTTAAGCAAGTTTAAATTCATTTTATCATAAAACGACATACCTGATCATCCTCAGGGGCATAAATATATTTATTTTATCCTCGTATATAACATCAAAATACTACAGCATTGAGAGTCATATTTATTTTTACTTTTATTCTAGGTCCCTACTATAGTATAAGAGCCTTAATCTCCGAGTGAAGATCTTTTGGCTATTTTTTTGTTTTCAATTTTCAGATGTTGAAAGAGCATCTATAGCCTCTACAACCTTCTATTCGGGTTAGAAGAACATCCAGGAAGACTTGAGCAGTTGAAACAATATGGTGAGTTAAAACAATATGATGTTTTATTTATTTTCCTTATCGATAAAACTGAACATTGATGCAAATATTTTTCACAAGTGGAAAATTTTATTTTGATCGTACTAATGAAAATGGCAAAATGCAGCTAATATGGCACTAAATTTTCTTTGTAATTAACTTTAAAATTTTGTTTAAATATTTAATTTTCTTATCTTATAATATGATTATCAATATGTGTTGATCGCTGTTTTTATTTCTTTCATTTCTTTTTATTTCAATTTTTAAGTTCCACAATATAATGGATAACATTGGAGCAGCATGGGAAGGTGCTAATGATGCTTGCATTTCCATTTCTACAAAATGATTGAGACCAATTGTTTTTCCAACCATTGACAAGGTTGAATTTATGCCCTAAGTTTGCTAAGTATAATCTAGGATGGAAACATACTAAATCTTGTAAAAAATTTGCTTTGGTTTGAAGACTTTTATCAATGATATTGTACCAATTTTCGGCATGGAAATAAGGTCTTGAGAAGGATTGTGGATTTCTTTCCAAATCATCGCAATAATATATTTTTCTTGTTGAATATCTCTATTTTCTAATGTTCCGGAAATCTAATATTGGTTGATGCAGTTAGGATAGAAGTTCTCACAACCACCAATTAAAGATATGAACTATTTAAAAATAAGATCCATGCTGAGCATCCTTGACCTACAAAACTATGAGAAGAATTCTAAGAAAGGATTGTAATATACATATCATCTATAGAACATGTCAATCTTTAATTTTTTGCTTCATCTATCTATCTATGGTTTTATATCTTACTATTTTGATCTAGTTGAATTTCTCTACGTTAGTTTCCTTTCTTATTACAAATTCATTTATTTAGAGATAGATGGTTGAAAATCGGTTCAAACAATTATTAGTTCAAAATGTAATTAATGAGAATTCAACATATTTAATACACTAATATTACCTTGAAAATAACAAAGCCCGTGCATTGCACGGGCAGATGACTAGTATATATATAAGAGGGAGAGATATTGGAATACAAATTTGTTAATTTATTTACACGTTTCAAACTTTGAGATTCTCTTTCCTCCACTCATAATTTAACCACCTCTAAGAAACCTTTACACATCCATTTGCCATGTTATTTCCCCACTTACCCAACTAATATGAAAGATTCCCTCGGCTCCTTTATTTATCTCACATCACTTTACGATTTCTTCATTTCACATTTCATAACTTGTTCTCCTATATTTTTATTACTCATTTTCCTTCTATGTTCTGGTGTATCAAAGCAAGACAGACTCTGCAGAAGCATTTATAATATATTTTTTCAACACTTTTCATTTGGTTGAAACGCATTTGAAAGTTAAGGTAGGATACGACGTACAAGTGGTTTGTTCCCTTTAATTTTTGTTATTTCATATTGATAAATATTTTGTTAATGAAATGATGTGATATGACATATATGGTCATCCGATACTAATGATATGATATAATATGAGCTTTTACCGGTTATAAAGATATGATATGACGGTACGATTTATTTTGATATATGAATGATAAATATTATTCGGGATTGTACTAATATTCGTATCTTAGTGAGTATTCTCCATACTCACTCCTTTTTTCCTACCTTATAGGTTAGTATGGGTCGTGTCGGAGCACTACGGCTTGATGGTGTAGTGCCTCGTTTCATGGGACAAAAATCTAGAACTTAAGCACGTAACTTGTTTCTTTTAATTTGGTAGCAATAGACATTTATGTTTAACTAAATTCTTGAACATGCTTGGTAATAGGGGCGGAGCTACTCACTGGACTCCAATTTTTATCCTTTTTTTTAAATATTGGGTTTTATATTTATTTATAGTTCAGCTCGTACACTAATTTACCTCAATTCCTAGTGCACAATGACATTTTATGACTATTTTCCCTCGACAAGAAATTAAAAATTTTCTTTTAATCTGCCATCGTTTGAAATATTTTCAAATTTCATTTCTTTTCTAAAACTCACATTTCCTTCGGCCTTCAAATTTGCAGTAAAAACTTTCTTGATCATGTGATTTTTCTGTTTAATATTAGTTATTATAATTATGTGAATGTTGAATATTGGTAATATTTGTGATGGATTATTGAAATCTTGATTTCTACCAATTAGTTAAACAATTAGTGATGATTTTCTGGTGTTCTATCAATTTATAAAAATTAGTAGTTATTTTCTTATGAATTGATATTTAACTTTCACTTGTGGTTTATTTTAGTGTGAAATGTCAATGGAGAGATTCTTTAAAAGAAAATATTTCGTAGAAAATGTTGATGAGGAGATATCGAATAAAATGAATTTTGATGTTACACAACTTGCTACAAATCCTAAAATAAGAAATAAGATGATCATCTTATTATTGTTGTCACATTGTCATTTTTAGCATTTTCATATTATCATTAAAGCCATAACCAAAAATTTCGACCTTAACTAAATTTTGCCCGCACTGGACAAAATTCCTAACTCCGCCCTGCTTGGTAAATTGTAGTTGTCTACTTTCTAGTAAACTAAGTAGTTTTTAAGTTCCTTTAAATCTTAAGTTGTGTTTTGGAATTTTTTTTAGAACTAATATATGGTACGGTATTGTTAAAAGACCATGCATATACGTTTAACATTTGTAGAATACATTGTTGTTCCGTTAATTATATAAAAAGAATAAATGAACATTTATTAAACGAACGTATAAATGGATTTGGTGGCGACCTAAATTTGGGTCGTAACAATTAGATTTTGAAAATGAATTGAGGAATTTAATTGAATTGATAGGGGTGTTAGGATCTTTTTCAATGGTGAGAATGTTTTGGATAGTTGACATTATTTGTTTACTATATTTTAAAATTGAAGTTCATTTAACCAACAATTTAACCAAATATGGGTTATTTCACAAACTCCCCCTTTTTAATTTCCCCAACAAATTATGCACGCGCATTAATCTGCATTCAAAGATGTAACTGATATTACCACTCTATCAGTGATGTCGGCACCCATTCACTCCTCTTCCACTCTCTGCTTGCCCGCCATTATTCTGCAAATAAAAGCAGCCATAATGGCACGGAATTCCCCCATAATTAATCTCCATAACAACACTAAAAATTTATTCAAATAACCAAAGCATGATTGAATCCCATTTCACTCATATTTTTTCCATAATTCTACTCCTCGAATTTCAATTACTTGAGTCAAGCTACCATGATTACACCGACGCATTGTCTAAATCCATACTCTTCTTCGAAGGGCAGCGATCGGGGTACCTTCCACAGGACCAGCGAATTACATGGCGGGGAAATTCCGGCCTCGGCGATGGGTGGATGGTTAATACAAACTTGACCGGCGGTTATTATGACGCCGGAGATAATGTCAAATTTGGGTTTCCGATGGCATTTACGACCACAATGCTGGCTTGGAGTGTGATTGAATTCGGGGAAAACATGCCGGCGTCGGAGTTGAGAAATGCTTTGCTTTCGATTAAATGGGCGACGGATTATCTTCTCAAAACTGTTTCTCAACCAAATCGCATTTTTGTTCAGGTACCAACCACTATAAATTTTGCGGGTTTTAAAATGTAAGGAACTCTGTCTAGTCCGTTTGCTAAACTAATCCCCTGTTTGGTTTAGCTAAAAATTGTAGTAGATTTTGATAATATAAAAATAATAATAATAAATAAATAAATAAAATAAAATAAAAATCTAGTGAAATATATGGATGAAAAGCTGATAAAGTTGTGGGCTCAACGAAATAAGTTGAAAATAAATTGTAGGAAACGAGTGCCAAATAGAGGCGTAATGTAATGGTTAGTTGTAGAATGTGGTGCGAAGGAACTTCTTTTGGAAAAGCCAACAATTACTCGAGTTCAGATACTGTACGGCATGCTTTGTTAACCTAATTTTGGTAGATATTGTAAGACTTTGTCCATATTGGTGTTTTAATTAGTGCCTTAAATTGTACAATGTTGTCTATTATCTATAGAAGACTGCTATATGTGGCCCTGGCCAAGCAGCTTTTCATTATCTCTATCATATTGTATTGTTCATTGTCCTTATTTTTTTACAAATTTCTGTTAAAATTAATTTGATACATATGAAGAGTGATCATGTGGGGAACTTCTTGTGGTTCAAGATTATTTGAACTAACCCTGCAGCTTAGAAGGAAACTAGGAAAGATACTTGGTTGAGGATTGTCCTTGTCTGGAAACTGGGGCCAATGGCCATGATTTTGTCAAGTTTGTCTGTTCTGGACATTTTGGGTCCCTCTAATAAAATTACAGTGTGTGTGTGAAGCCCAACTTAAAGGAAAGCCACTTGCTTCATCCTATTTAGCTAAGTATGCAGTAAACTTGAACCAATTTATGGGTTGGAGTTTGTCTAAAAAGTGTAAAATATTTTGCTGTGGCGGAAGAATTTTTAGAAGTGCTAGTCTGTCGGAGTGATGTACTCGATAAATTTACTTATTAGTGAATTCTGGTGTATGATTTATCTGCCATGAACTAAATCTATTGTTGACTTGACACGCAGCAGAGCTCGATAAACTATGGGATGTAGTTGAGCTCAAACGAAGGTATTCAGCAATGACAACCGTTATAGTTTCTTTGGGAATTTATATATAATTCTGGATGCTGGCTAATGAAATCTTTCAAGTTTCAATGATATGTAAAGAACGGATTGGAGTCAGTTTTGAAAATCATCACTATATTTTCTTTATGTTGTCTAAAAAAGCTTGTGAGTTCATAGATTTTTTGAACCATGACTCTAGGATAGCAAATAGGTTGGCATGTGAGGCCGCGAGAGTCATTATCCACTGAATCGATTTATTAAATTATTTTAGTTCCATTTTCCAGGTTGGTGATCCAAATATAGACCATAACTGCTGGGAAAGGTCAGAAGATATGGACACTGCTCGAACTGTGTACACGGTGGATGCTCCAAATCCGGCCTCTGATGTTGCTGGTGAGACTGCTGCTGCTTTGGCTGCCTCATCCATTGCATTTAGATCATCTGATCCAGGTTACGCTGAGACACTTCTGCAAACTTCCAAGAGGGTATTCAATTTTGCAGATAGTTATCGTGGGGCTTATAGTGATAATTCGAATATCAGGGAAGGTGTCTGCCCGTTTTATTGCAATTTTGATGGATATCAAGTAAGCATTCTCCTTCTCACAAGTTTTTCTATTAATGTAAATTGCATCATTAACACGCGTATCTAGCTCTATTTATCTGTTTATGTATTGATTATATTTCAAATAACAGGATGAATTACTGTGGGGTGCGGCGTGGCTGAGAAGAGCCTCTCAGGATGATTCTTACCTCAATTACCTACAAAACAATGGCAAAACATTAGGTGCTGATGAGAATATTAATGAGTTCGGATGGGACAACAAGCATGCTGGTCTTAATGTTCTCATTTCTAAGGTATTTAAACCATATTATTGGTATTCAAACGCAATTATTGGTGAAGTGGAATATGCATTGCTCGTTCTCTTTAGTATAAGTAAGAAGAAAATATTTAATACTGTTTAGAAAGCATGCTCTAAACGAACATTGTGCCGTTTCCAAAAGTGATCTGAATATTGTTGCAGGAAGTCTTGGAATGGAGCATGTACTCTCTTCAGTCATACAAAGCATCAGCAGATAGCTTCATGTGTACACTGATACCCAAGTCTTCATCCTCCCACGTAGAGTTCACTCCGGGTGGTCTCATATATAGGCCTGGTGGAAGCAACCTACAACATGCCACTACCATATCTTTTCTCTTGCTTGTTTATGCCAATTATATAGAGAGGTTTTCTCAGACTATAAACTGCAGTAGCATTACCGTTAGTCCAACAATGCTCCGCGAAACAGCCAAGAGACAAGTTGATTACATTCTTGGCGATAATCCTAAAGGATTGTCCTACATGGTTGGGTATAGTAATTACTACCCACAAAGGATACATCATCGCGGCTCATCACTTCCTTCCATCAAAGATCATCCCGAATTCATAGGGTGCAAGGATGGTTCGATTTACTTTAACTCATCAAACCCTAATCTGAATGTATTAGTTGGGGCCGTGGTGGGTGGACCTGGAGAAGATAATGCTTATGAGGATGATCGAGTTGATTTTCGAAAGTCTGAGCCCACGACTTACATCAACGCACCATTTGTTGGAGTACTTGCATATTTTGTGGGCACTTCTAGTTAAAATTAGAATACATCACAATTTATGTTGGTTAGGGGAAAAAGAATGTATCTCATCTTATGCTAAGCAAAGAATGAAGAGGCTGATTCTAGGAGGGGATAACTCCAATAGCTCATTGTATCATTATGTTGAAAGTGATAGTGGAAGGTCCAATTTAACCCCTAAAATCTTCATTTTGCTTCAGATTTTAGTGGGGCAAATATGGAAAACTATCATTTTGTTATTTTTATATTTTCCATTATATCTGTGAGATTAGCAGATATAATAATTTGTCCATTTAAAGAACCTGTGTTCTTCAGTTGGTGATTTGATTTCCTTTTCTTCTTAGTGCAATTTACGAACCCAAAGAAATCGATTAAATAAATATTTTTCGTTGTCATTTCAAACCATAAGTTGCACTAAATAGTAATGGTATATTCTTACAAGTATAAAATTTTGAGGGCAATCAAACTCAAGTCTCAATTCATTTCAAGGGTTGATTGAATATCATCTTGTAATAACAGAGTCAGCCATTGTTACTTGTTACATGCTCAAAAGTCTCTTTATCGTCAACCTTATTGGTATAAAATCTTGAAATTCATTCTGCAATTTAGCCGGCAGTAAAACATAAGCGGACGTCCCTTTCTGCTAGAGCTTCATGGGTGCTAGCGTATGTCCCATTCTCTAAAGCACTACCTCGAATTACTAAGTTGAAAAGAGAGCGGGTAGGTTATACAGAAAAGTTACTCTATTCAATCTCGTGAGATAACAACAATTGATAATTTATGTCTAGATTATGTCAACGTCAAGTTATTTTTTCACTTAAACTTCCAACAAATTACGACTGAATGATTTGAATTAAATTCATAATCTAATTAAAATTAGGAAACAAGAGGAACAAATGTTTATTAGAAGGAGGAACATTGAGTTCACATATCACCTACTATGGAGTGTTGGCATTAATGGATGCAAAGTACCTATTTGTACATAACCTATTACATTTATTGGTTTGCCATATGAGAGTTGCTATTTGTACAGAAAAATGTAATGTCAGAATTCATGGAGATGACACTTGACAGTTTTCTATTGGATAATGGTAAAATGTAAAAATAGATAGGCCAAACAGATGCTGCACAACTGTATCTGTATTAATTTTGGCATCAATATTTCTGTACAAGGGTAATTGCTGTTGCCATATTTATATGGCCTGCACTTTTCATGAATTTATTGTTACTACCGTACTGGTACCCACATACTTTCATTTCTAATTTTGCTTAATTTTCAGTGTATTTTTTTTTATATATTAAACATTGTGAGTTGGCACTAATATAAGTAAAAACAATAGAGAAAAATAAATTATTTAATCGTTATGACAATTGAATTTTATACACTTATTTGAGCCTCTAAACTTGATTATATATTGATTAATTGAGCATATCTCTACATAATTTAGGTTAAAATATGTTAACTGTAAGTAAATCCCTGGCTTGGATGCATTTGTATGCAATAAGCATGAGAATGGCATGTTGAAGATTAAAATGGAGTTGATTCAAAGTAATTGATGATCAGTCAGATTGGAATTGATCATTATGAAGTACTAAGAGAGCAAACGGAAGAAATTCACAAGTTTTGAAAGTTAAAACCATTATTTGAAAAGTTTGGAGACTTTATAAGTGTGATTTTACACACTTATTTGAGCCACAAAACAAGATTATTTCTTGATAAATAAAGTGAAATATGACTTAATTCTGTTAAATCTTGTCTTGTAGGACTATATCGATGGATGTAACGGAATTCAAGAGAAAAGATGCCAAAAAAGGCCAAAATGAAAGAAGACGAAAGTTTAGAGACTAAAGTGCAAATAACCAAAGGTTGAACCAAAAGGCGGATCGAGAACGCCTGGGGAAGAAAAGGAATCCTATTGGGGACGATTTTACACCGTAATCAAGAAGAGAAACACGAAGATGGAGGAGATTATAAGCCAATTCATACACCAGTAATGTCGTTTCTTACAACTATTATATATTTTGTTATTTTCTCCATGTTAGACTAAGTTTTCATATGCTAGGAGATCAATGAACTTCGTGATGTAATTTTTAATTTCCAATTTTTGCAAATTTGACATTGAAACACATTTTTTGAATTTTGAATTATTTATATACAATCAATTGCTTCAATAATTATGTGCTCGTAATTGTATGAATGTGATGACTTATTTCATGCATTCGAGAAAAAGTGAATGAGTTCGGTAGGGTATAAATCGTCGTAGGATCCGATAAGGGATAAAGATATACCCTTCTACCTTGTGTGAATTTTTAAGTGCTCATAATATTACATGCATTCTTGTAAACTTGCACTCATCATAGAGATATAGGCTGATAAGATATGAGAATATGTTCAACTTTACTCGAGCGAGATTGTTGAATAGATTTAGGAGCAGTGGTTCTTCAAAATAACAACGTGTTGTCAATTTGTGAAACTAGAGTTAAAAGTGGACATTGCTTGGAGATTCGCGATCCTAGTGCGATTCATATTCATTGATATCACTAATTTTGCATTCAACATTAGTTCTGCATTCAAATTCACTTGAGTCATACATATTTGCATATTAGGTTAAAATTAGGGTTAATCCAAGTTATCAAATCTTGTTCTATAATTAGGTTTCGGTTAAGGTCAATTTAGATAGAATTAAGCTACTCAATCTTTATGGAAGCATTCAACATTAGTTCTGCATTCAAATTCACTTGAGTCATACATATTTGCATATTAGGTTAAAATTAGGGTTAATCCAAGTTATCAAATCTTGTTCTATAATTAGGTTTCGGTTAAGGTCAATTTAGATAGAATTAAACTACTCAATCTTTATGGAATGACTTTCGAACTCAAATTTTTCATTTTATTACTTGTCGCGAACGTACACTTGCGGGTTTAGATCGAAATATTATTTTTGTGAACAAGACTTAATTGTAAACTTTCAAAACTTTCATTGGATTAATTATAGATGACTATGGAGAATGAAGATTAAAATGGTTTAAAGTTAAGGGACAAAAACTGCAAATAGGAAGGGACTCAAAATACTCTCTCTCTCTCTCTCTCTCTCTCTCTCTCTCTCTCTCACACACACACACATATCTATATATATTGCAAAATATTGGAAACACTGCATTTCAAGTTCCTAAATCAATAGATGAAGAGTATCCTAGCAATAGCAAAACAACGGGTATTTCGTTTTGTCTGTTGATTAGATAATATAAACCCCTTACCCTCTACGAAAATATAACAAAGCCCCTATCTGGTGTAGATCAAAATACACCAAACAGACAAGATACCAAAGAAGGCATATGTAGTATTTACTTAAACTCCATTTGATCAATCATCCGACAACTTCCTTTCCTTGCAACCTCACTGAAAATCAAAACCGAAAAATGAAAATGCTAATTATAAATTTGAAACCTATGAAGATTTAGAAAATGTAATTTTGGTACTTATCACCTTAATGCCATTTGAGCAACTCTTCGTTAAAAGTGTTACACCTAGAAAATAGCACTTTCAATTCTCATTTGGGCCAGATCAATGAATTAGTCTCATATAATTTTCTCTCACTTTATTTTCTTCAATTAAGGTCCAAAACCTATTTGAAAAATTGGACTTAATTTACGTCATCGCCCACCGAAGGTTGTTCGGCATAAAATTCAACAACTCTCCATCTTAATGTCAAAGAAACTTTGTACAAAAGAACTAAATCTCCTTGTCCCCTTTTCTCAGCATTTTGCTCATACCTACGAATAAGAGTAATCGAAGTTAGTCTCAACTCTACGAACAATCCAATAAAATTGGAACTTACTAACCTCTATCAATACTCAAGAGATCCAAACAACTCTTAAACTTAACCAAAGGAAAGACTTTAGCATTCACATCTGAGTAAATATATAACAAAAACATATTTTTAAGCTTTGCTTCATCCTGTGACACAACATCTCAAATAAATGCATCCTGGCGTCTATATATTTAATGCGTTCGTGAAAATGGCCAACTGACTATCAAAGAATACATTCACATTACCATCTAAAATACACAGTTCATTTAGAAGACCTTAAGCGAAAAAGACTCTTTAATGGATTCTTTGTCAACTATATACTCAGTCTCGATTGTGGATAGTGCAACTATATGCTATAACTACAATTTCAAACTCACACGCGCATCACACGAAGTGAACACATAGGATCGAGTTGATTTCCTATTATCTTTATCCCTTGCATAATTTGCATTTACAAATTCTTTCAATTTTACATAGTGTATTGCTTCTAAACGCAAGACCCGTATTACAAATTTTCCTTAGATAACTATGTACCTATTTCAATGCTTCCCAGTGATCAAGATTAGACATTGTCAAGAATTGATATATACATCAGCCTCCAGCTCAGTTGACAACAAATCACAGTATCAGCACTTGTTCATCCTTGCTGTCTCATCTTCCGTTTCACCAGAATACTGCCACTCTGATTTTTGTTATCAATATATTCCTAACATATTCCATAATTTAAGGAACTAACTTACAGCTGTAGAAATCTAGAATATTCTTTTGTACACTCCCTTGTATTATATATTTACTGATGTTGAAGCAATGAAATATAATGTAAATTTCCATTCAACATTTTTCTGAATTTCCAACTTGGTATCGGAGCCAATTCATGGTCAACACTGGTAATACACCACAAAGCACTGAACCCAACTCTACTCCTGTATTAACCTCAAGCAATACTGTTGCTCCAATGCAGGGAAGCAACCATCTCTCACCCCTTGGTGTGAATCTGACCCAAGTAGTGTCAGTCAAGCTTGACAAAAACAATTTCCTGCTATGGCAAAATATGATTCTGCCTATCATTCGTGGACACAACCTTGAAGGCTATATTCTGGGGACAAAGGTGTGCCCTCAAGAATTTATTGGCACTCAAGTTACTGGTGAAGCTGGAGCCAGTGTTGAAATGACCAAAAATCCAGAATATAATCAATGGATGTCAACAAACCAACTTCTAATGGGATGGCTCTACTCTTCAATGACTCCTGATATAGCCATGAGAATCATGGGTGCCACCAACTCCAATGAATTGTGGACTGCCATAAAGGAGGGCTATGGAGTTCAAAACAGGTCCAGGATAACATTTCTTACTAGTGAGCTTCAGAAATCAAGGAAAGGAACCATGAGCATTGACCAATATTTGAACAAAGTGAAGCTGATTGCAGATAATCTTGAAATTGCTGGCAAAACTATTCCTCAATCTGATCGGTAACTCAGGTCTTGGCTGGTTTAGATGAAGAATATACACCAATT